TAGGAACCAAATCCAAGCCTCACATATGCCACATGCCACTGAGCTAGATCCCTAGTTCAGTTTATTTTAGTTATAAACTAACACAATAAATGTGATCCTTTTTTGGTGTATAATTCTGTATATATTAACATATATACATATTAATGAAATCCTGGCCACCACCAGGACACAGAATTCCCTCATCCTAAAAAGCCCCCTGGCCTTCTTCTCCCACCCTAACTACTGATTTGTTATCCATCACTATAATATTGCCTTTTTCAAAGTTTCATATAAATTAAATCACACAGAATGTGTAATCTTTGATGACTGGTTTCTTTTGTTCAGTGTGATATCTTTGAAATTCATCCATATTTTGTGTAATCCTGTTGCTTTCAGCTCCCCAAGAATCCCTTCTTATATATTGCTGAGTAGTAATTCTTGGAGTGCATTACCACAGTGTGTTTATTCACTTGCCAAGAGATGGACATTTGGTGATTTCCAATCATTTGTCATAATGAATAGAGCTACTCTAAACATTCATAAGACAGCATTTCATGAGAGCAGAAACTTTCATCTCTCTAGGGCAAATACCCACCAATGGACCTGCTGGTTCCTATGGTAAATGTATGTTTAATTGTATAAGCTGAATTCTTCATATTTAACAACATATTCTTTTTAAAAAATTAAAAAATTAGTTGTAAAGGACATAATACCTTAATTAATTTTTTTATGTAGTGCTGAGGATCAAACCCAGTGCCTCACACATGCTAGGAAAACACTCTACTATTGAGCTACAACCACAGCCCCATTCTTTAGCGCAGTCTCTCTCTCTCTCTCTCTCTCTCTCTCTCTCTCTCTCTCTCTCTCTCTCTCTCTCTCTCTCTCTCTTTCTCTCTCTCTCTCTCAGTCAGGGTCTCACTATGCTGCCCAGGCTACTCTTGAACTCTTGGGCTCAAGTGATCCTCCTGCCTCAGTCTCCAGAATAGCTGGGATTGGGTTGCTTCCACAATTGGCTCCTCTTCTTTTATTATAGGTAGCTAAAAGAAGCCAGGTAGCACCTTTCACTTTCTCTCTGGGCATCTTCCTAGCTAGGTCATCATACTCATTTCTATTTTTTTATTCTACTGTAAACGACAATGTTGCTAAGCCTCCTTGCCAGGACGCATCAGCTGTCTCCTTTCTTCTATTGTGAAATAATGTTTTTCTCACTTTAGGGACTCCATTGTCTTTCATGGCAAGGTCTTCCATCTCCTACTGCCCCATCCCAAAGCCAAATCAAATCCACATATTTTAGTTTTATATTGGCAGTGCCCTGTGTTTTAGTTAGCTTTTGTATTACTATGACAAAAATACCTGACAAGAACAACTTATTGGAGGAAAAGTTTATTTGAGGCTCACAGTTTCAGAGGTTTCAGTCCAGAGGTGGTTAACTCCATTGCTGCAGGCCCAAGATGAGCAGCTCATCATGAGAAAAGAGCCCAGCAGAGGAAAGCCGCTGAGCTCATGATGATGTCAGGAAGCAGGAGACAGGAGGAGCAAAGGGGCTGCAAGAAAGATAAACCCTTCCATGACATACCCTCAGTGACCCACATTCTCCAGCCATGCCCTATCTGCCTACAGTTACCACCCAGTCAGTCCATTCAAACTAGGATAGAATGATTAGGTTATAGCTCTCACAATTCAATAATTTTACCTTTGAGTATTCCTGCATTAACAGGAACTTGTGGGAGGACACCTCAAATCTAAACTCTAACACCCTACTTCTAGTACCAATACCTTTTCTGGTTCTCTATGGCTACCTAACAGACCACCTCCAAATGAGTACAGTAAAAACATTCATGAATATCTATTACTGTTCCCTCTAATAGTTCTAGAGCTTGACTGAACTCAGGTGATTCTTACTTCTGGCATGTCATGTAACAGCAGTCTGATGGTGGCTGGAACCCAAATCATCATCAAGACTTCCTCACTCACTTGTTGGTGAAAAATGCTGGTCACAGATTGGTATTTCTGCTGGAGCTGCTGGCTAAAACACTTATGCCTGTTGTCTTTTTATGCTTCCTTACAGCAAGCATTCCAATATCAGAGAGAAGAAAGGGGAGGGAAGGGGAGGGGAGGGGGAGAGGAAAGGAGAAGAGAAGAGAAAGAAAACAGAAACCCTGGCTTCAAAAACCATACAATGCCATTTCCGGTGCATTTTATTTGGCTAGAAGTGAGTTCAGCCCATTTTTCCTCTTTTGTTTGTTTTGTTTTGGTTTGTGTTACGGAGGACTGAAGCCAGGGGTGCTATACCACTGAGTTAAATCCCCAGCTCTTTTTATTTTTTTTTATTTTGAGGCAGGGTCTAAATTGCCTAGGCTGGCCTGGACTTTGTGATTCTCCTGCTTCAGCCTTCTGAGCCACTGGAATTGCAGGTGTGCACCACTGTTCCCTGGCTTTTCTTGCCCCCTGCCCCTTTTTGGTACCAGGGATTGAACTCAGGGGCACTCAAACACTGAGCCACATCCCAGCCCTATTTTTGTATTTTAAATAGAGACAGGGTCTCACTGAGTTGCTTAGAGCCTCGCTTTTTGCTGAGGCAAGCTTTGAACTTTCAATCCTCCTGCCTCAGCCTCCTGAGCCACTGGGATTATAGGCATGCACCACCATGCCCAGCTCCGGCTTTTTTTTTTTTTTTTCCAATGGAGCCTCACTGTGTTGCCCAAGCTGGTCTTGAACTTCTGGGCTCAAGCTATCCTCCTGCTTCAACCTCCTGAGTAGCTGGATATATGCTGCTGGGGTCCAAAGTAGATCAAGTAAAGATTCTACCTCTGTTGATATGTTTTTTTTTGTTGTTGTTGTTGTTTGCTATCCAGGGGTACTTAACCACCAAGAGACATCTGTAGCCCTTCTTTAATTTTTTATTTTGAAATAGGGTCTCATAAGTTGCTTAGGGCCCCATTAAATTGCTGAGGCTGGCTTTGAATTTGTGATTCTCCTGCCTCAACCTCTGAGCCACTGGAATTACAGGTGTGTACCACCACACCTGGCTGTTGATATGTTTTAAAAGAACCACAGTGGGTCATTTACCAAGGGGTACCTGTAGAGGTGGGGAGATAGATAGGAAGGTAGCCCATTTATTAAGGTGGGGAATATCAGGCAAAGATCAGATTTTCAGAAAATCTGGAGCTAATTCCTGGCATGATGACTGGGGAATGTCTATTGGTGATGGAGATGGAGATGTGGAGCAGGCTTTGAGAAATACTAGCCTGGAAAGAGTAATAAGTCAGGCTTGAAGTGACTCACAAGTTGTTATGAGTCAGTTTCTTGGATGGTTCCTGTAGCTCCAAGGCTGGAGGAAGTCATCAAGAGTAAGAATGGGGAGCGATGAAGGAACAGCCAGAGCTAGGAAGAGGACGACACAGCAGATGTTGCAGTCGTCTTCCTGACTATGGACCCTATTTTCCCTATTCTAGAGAAACTCTTACTTTGGTGAGTAGTCAGTTCCTGTACACCTCCTTGATGTAATTGGGAACTATTTCTGGGCACTATAGTTGGTTTAGGTGCAGGTGTGCAATGTAGTCTTGTGAGGGAGGAAAAGCAGGGAGAGGTTTCTATGATCATCCAAATGGACACATTTGGGAAAAGATGGAAGGTCCATACAGCTGTGGCAGCCATTTTTCAACAAGGAGGCAAGCTGGGAGGCCAGGTCATTCACAGAGGTGGCGGCTTTATCTCAGATTAACTCTGGGCACCCTATAATGAACTCTTGTGAGAGAATTGAGCCAGCAAGTTCTATAACTTGAAGTCCAAAGCATCCTTATTGGTCCCAGAATGAAGATGATAAAAAAGCCTAAAAATGGGCTGGCAAGGTAGGAGGAGAGAGGTGTGGATGTATGCTGCCCTGCAATGGCAGCTAACATCTATGCCCCCCCTCCCAGGGCCCCCATGATCTTAATGGGTTTCTCAACATCTCACACCTCCTAACTGATTGAATCCTAAAAATGACTCCTGATACTTGTTGTTATTATTATTTTCATTATCTGAAATACTGGGGATTGAACCTACGGCACTCTACCACTAAGCTAACCCTATTTAAAAATTTGAGACACAGACTAAATTGCTAAGTCTGTTTTTGAATTTACCATCCTCCTGTCTCAATCTCCCTAGTCATTGGGATTATAGGTGTGTGCCACCCAACATGGCTGATAGTCACTATTATCATGCCAGTTTATAGATTAGGAAACCCAAACACAGAGGAATGAAGGAACCTATGGAAGATTTTTTGTGCAGCTAGGAGTAGACTATTGAGTTCAAGTCAGGCAATTTGTTGCTCTTCCTGTGAGCTACACAATATATTTCCTTTGGAGGTGAAAAGGAAAGTCTTAGGCTGAAGTGCCTGGCTCAGCTGTCCAATGCTCTTTACTTGAAAGTATCCGATCAAATGTAGGTTACCAGCACTGATGGGCCAGATGAACAGGGAATAGTGTGAACAGAGCAGGAATGGCCTAAGCAAAAGAGTGAGGAGGTGGAGAGCCCACCTGAGACAGATTTTAAGCGTAGTGGCAGTGAGGAGGTCATTGATCTACTGGGGAGTGAGGGGCAAGGGGATGTCTTGCTGGGGGAGGGGAAGGGGACTTCTGGGACAGGTGGGAAAGCGGAAGGAGAGACTTCACAGAGGTTAGGAAGGTTTCCCTGACCCAAGAGCGAAGGCAAGAGAATTGGGGTCCACCAGACAGACGGTTTATGGGAATTTCTCCGTGAGGCTGAGACCCGGGGGTCCAAAGTAGGTGAGAGGTTTGGGGTAAATGTGAGGTGGGTTCACGATGAGGCTGCCCAAGGTTTGAGGGCCCATCCGAAGATAGATACTAGAAATTTGAAGACCAGGAGTTTGAGCGGCTTGGGTAGGTTTCTCCAGGCGTGCTCACCTGCCATAAAATGCCTTGAAGGGGACTGGGAGCCAACCTCTTTTAAAACATATCAACCTGCAGCCATTGGTAGGGCCGTGGCAGGAGGAGGCACTGCGATGCTCTGGAGGCTACTATCTCGGGGAGTCCTGGGGTTGACTACTTCACCGCAAAAGGAGACCACCAGGCCCCGTGGGCGGCGGGGAGACAGCTCTCCAATCCTTCCGCTTGCGCTGACGGCCCTGGGTGGACAGGAGGGCGCTGCTGGGGCACAATGCTCCCTCCTTGCCGCCGCCAGCCCCCGCACGCCGAGGCGGAGCAGGCTTTCCCGCCACCGCCGCAATCGAGGATTAGCTTGCTCTGAACCCGAGCGGTGGGATTAGCCCGCATGGACTTGGCGCCCGGCTTGGGGATTGCCGCTCTATGCCCCCCCCCCCCCGACGTATATATTTCGGCCAGGCAGGCCGGCTGGCCCGGCCGGGCATGGGGGTAGTTGGGGGTGCCGCGAGCCGCAGGGGCCCTGGGCGGCCCTGCCCCTTCTCTATCGAGCATATCCTTTCCAGCCTGCCGGAACGGAGTCCCCCAACCCGGGCTGCTCGACCACCGCTGCCCAGCGGCCAACAGAGCCCCACCGAGCCCGGGGAACCCGGGGCGCCTGAGATTGTGTCCTGCGCCTGTTGTTGCTGCTGTGGACCCCGCGCAGCATCCCGCAGGACTCCGGAGGCGGCTGCCGGGCTGGGTGAGTGGACGCAGGGTGTGAGGGCGGGACGCGGGACCTCTGCGCGCGGAGTAGTGGGTGGGGAGCTTGGCTCCTGCCCTGTGTTTCACAGCGCCCTCGCCTTGCAGGCGCGCGGCTACCGTGGCCACTGAGGCTGGGGCCCGCGGCGCCCTTGCCCTTAGCCGCGGCTGCTGGAGGCTCTGCGACTCTGCCTGGTGCTGGAGGCCCAGTCCCACAGCGACGCACTAGGCGCCACCGCACCATCTTCAGCGAGGAGCAGCTGCAGGCGCTCGAGGCGCTCTTTGTGCAGAATCAGTACCCCGACGTTGGCACGCGCGAGCGCCTGGCTGGCCGCATCCACCTGCGCGAGGAGCGCGTGGAGGTGGGTGCGGGGCAAAGCCACTCCGGTAAGCCGACTGCACGCCAGCTGCTGCTGGACGGCTAAAGGGTCCACGGCAAGAGAGTCCGCGCCTCCGGCTTGCATTCTTCTTTTTCAAAGACTGCGTGGGCCCGAGCACCGCCTGGCATAGTGCGACCCAGCGCAGAAGAGGAAGGAGCCCTCCGTACAGCGAATGGGGCACAGGGCCGGTCCCGGGGCGGGTAGTAGGCGGGGGCATGCATGTGAGGGAAGATGTAGCTGGAACTGGAGGGGGGAGGCAAGACTGGTTTTCTTTGCAACTATTTAAAACTTTTCTCTCTCCTCTCCCCGCTTTTTTTTTTCTTTCCTGTGATAAATGAGGCATTCGTTCATGTTCCAGATTTTGGGAAGTTCAGAAATTCACAAGCTGCATAAGGGGCGTCCTGGTCGCCGCTGGGCAGAGGCTGGGGCAGGAAAGGGTGGGAAAGGGTTTTCCATCCTGCATCATGAGCTATTCCTATCTGCAGCAGATAAGGGAATGTGGTGTACCGCCGCTAAGGTGCTGGCTCTGCAGGCCTAGTCCACCACTTCCCTGTGGTTAAGCCCCTACCCAGGTCGGACCCATAGATCTGGCCCTTGAGAGTGGCGCGGGTGGGGGTGGGGGGCACGAGGGTCCTGGGAGTCCCAGCAGTTCCTTCTCCTCTTCCTCCTCAGGTCTGGTTCAAGAACCGCAGGGCCAAGTGGAGACACCAAAAGCGCGCATCAGCATCAGTGTCAGCGAGGCTCCTGCCCGCGACCAAGAAACCTCCCAAGGAGAGATGCTGATGGGTCTGGGAGCTACTCTTGATCTTGACCATGATCTTTGGGGTTCACAAAGAGAGAGGAGAGACCTACTTGAACCGGAGCTAGGAGAACACTTCGGCCTCTTCCATCAATCTCCACAGCTTCGTACAGTCTGGAGCTAGTGCTGGGGTGCCAGTATATGTGTGTCTGGTGTTAACTGCCCCATAGAAGGAGTGGACAGCAAGCACCTGAGTGCTCTGTCTTCCCCAGTGGCAATAAGGTAGGAACCAGGAAGGTTCTCTTGGGGTGGAGTGGGGCAAAAGAGCAACAGCTTCCTCAACCCCCACTCACCACACAGAAAGGCATTGATTTCACCCCAGAATAGGAAATACCACTTGTCAACACCTGCATCTAGAATCCTCCCCAGAGGAGTCTCCCTCCCTACCCCTGGGTGGGCTGGATTCCCTCCTCTCCTCATGGGGACATGGGTCCCACAGACCTGGTCTTCCACTCTCCTGGGGCTGGATGATGGTGTCTGCACAGTCCTGGGCTTGCTGCCACCTTGCATGTCCTGTGCTGGGCCTTGGTGTCTGGACCTGCAGAATAAGAGGGTTGGATGAGGTAATTTTCAGAAGCTTTCTCACCTGCTCCTTATAGTGATATCAAGAAATAAACAAAAACTACAAATACCACAGAAGCAGTTCAGAGTCCCAGATCTGCCCTGGCTCCATTTCTACATCCAGGAGAGAGCTGCCTCTACTGTCTCTTTCCAGGGAATGGGGAATTAAAGTCTTTTGTGGGAACTCAGCCCAGTAGGTCTGCAGTCCCTATTCCAGGTGCCCACAACAGAGCAGACTGGCTCATGGAAGGTGGCTAGACTCTCTGTGAGCCTGCTTTGTCCTTTAAGTGCTTCATGGACAAGGGTCCTTAGCTTCCTCCCTCTGGGGATTTCCATGCAGCAGAGTTTACCTCCCTTACAATGGTCAACCTCTGCCATCTAGGGTAGGGCAACACAAGGTTGGATTGAGGTGACACCACACACATGGCCTTGGGAAATATCTGCTTTCTCCTCTACTATTTTGGCCCCAGGATGAAGGAAAGTGTAAAATAAGACTTCCATTTCTCCAAATGGACTCATGCAGTGTGCCAGAGGCACCTAACACCTCATCTGGCTTGAGCACTTTGTTTTCTCTTCTTATGGGTCCTGGAGATTGTGGGGAGTGATATCTACAAGAGACACTGTTCATTCATAAAAGCCAGACAATGGAAGCTAGGGCTGAAGCTCCTGGGGCTCTCTAGGGATGACTGGTTCAGATAACACCAAGAAGGTACCATGTCTCCCAGCCAGAATGGCCCCTGCACTGCTGGGTACCTCCAGGACAGGCATTCTCACCACACACTGGGCTGTCACAAAACTTCTGCCTGAATCTTGGCCTTGCTCTTGAAGATTTCAAGGTGAACAAGACTGTGTCCCGTCAACTCCCCTGCAGCCTGGGGCACCACCATGTTGCTGGGTGATGTGTCTCTTTTCCTCCTTGGCTGAACAGCCATTTATCATTGTGTAGGGCAATGACAACCTGAGCTTGCCTGAACTACACCTTCCATATGCTGCTGCTCTCCTGAGCTGTTTCCTCCCTATCTAATTGCTCCTAGGCAAGCTGAACCCCTTCAAGTTGACGACTGATATAAGCATTCTTGAAATTTAGTCCCAAGTGCTCCCCTCTTCTTTTATTGGTTTCCTTTTCCACCCTCAGTTTCCAATTCCCATCTCTCTGCCACATTCACATTACTAACCCAGGCCTCTTCCCGAGCTAGATATTTATATCAAATTTCCCCCCTAACTATTCCATCAGGAAGCCCACAGTCTCATCAAGGTCACATTGTCTATAGTAAGCAAACCAGCTGCATAAGCCAGAGAGGTAATAATCGTCCAACTGCTCTTTGTCCCTCACCCACCATACCCAGTCCAACAGCCAGTCGATTTTACTTCCAAATAAATATAGATATAACTCAAAATCTACCTTCTTTTCAGTTCCAACTGCACCAATCTGATGTAAATTACTGTCACTTCTCACCTTGACCATTGCTGCAATCTCCAACTTCGTCTATCTGTACCTACTTTGGCTCCCCCTTAATTCAGAATAAAAGTAAAACTCCTCACTAGAACTCATGAAGCTCTGTGCAGGCTGGCTCTGCCACTCCAGTGTCATCTCACACCTCACTGAACTCTGTCTGTGTATGGCAAAGGTCTGCTTTGGGATTTGTCTTGCTCCCTTCCACCACTGGGCCTTTGTATATGCTCTTCCTGTTTCATTGGTTCAACAATGCCTGTCCATTCATTTTTTTGGATCTGCAAAAACTTTCTGCCTGGAGAAATTTTCCTGACCTGCCTCACTAGGTCAAGATTCCCCAAATAAAAAAATTTTCTTGCATTGCCATAGCTTCTATTTTAGATTTGTTTGTAGAATGATCTAAATAGTTTCTCTCCTCCACTTTGGACTGTTAGCTTTAAAAGCAGGAACATCACCATGAAGTCCTCAGTGAGTCCATATGAATGAATGTATGACCACATATTGAAAAAGCAAAATTCAACTAAATCATTCTTGGGGCAGAACTTGTTCACTTGACATAATTCACAAAAAAACCTCCCTTTCGGAAGGAATTTCTGAAAAATGCTTAGGTAATTTTCTGTTCCATTTCAGTGAGAATTGGCTTTCTTCTGGAAGACCACTCTGATATTTAGGGACCTCCTGTAACCAGACATTTCTTTATTGAACAACTTTCTTATTCTTTGTTTTCATTAATCTTTTGTTAGATAACTACCAAGAAAGAATTATCTTGGGTTTTTTTGCATAAAGTTTAAATCAAATTTTCTGATGAATGTGTTTTTGTTAACACACTGAAACATATACAGTGATTATTGGTGACAAATCCAGAACCTTTTGATTTCCCCCAAGCTGAAATTTCTCACGTTAGCATGAACAAATCAAACAGTCTCCACCACAGCGCCCCCTCGTGTCCACAGATCAGTCAGGCATGAATGATGCGGGGCGGGAAAAAAGACTACAACTCCTATGAGAGCCAGCGTTAGTAATGACGTCACTACGGAGCGCCGACGGATGCTAAAAAAAGCACTGCTTCCCTATTGGCTGGCTGTTGGGAGGCGCTGGCAGAAAAGGTGCTCCCGCCGCCCCATACCCTGTGACGCGCCACTGTCGCCCGAACGGTTCTGGGATAGTGATGGAGACGCCGGGAGTATCTACCCGGACCTTATTGCTCCCAGCCGTGTCGGGGCCCCAGAGGAAGCGATCGGCTGGGGAGACCGAAGCTGTGAGGAGCAAGCAGCGGGTCCTGGACGAGGAAGAGTATATAGAGGTAGTCACCTTAGTGAAACGCCGGCGACTTCCGGGTCCCTCCCTGGTTTTGCGCTTCTCTTGGTTTCTTTCTCTTCGGTCTTGGTTGGCTCTCCAGTCCGCTAGTGGAAGTGGAATAGCCGAGTCCCTGCTCTTGAGGTGTAGACAGTCCGGAGAGCCAAGTAAATGGTGGGGAGGGAGATGTCCTTAACTGAGGAGGCACTAGCAATATTTTCAGGGGATATTAAAGTGTAAGAGTTTGACACACTTGAAGGATGGTGGCAAAGAGGACTTGACTTAGTCTGCAATTGTGGCAACAACATTGAGTGCAGCCCCTAGAAGGAGGGGTTTGTTTTACTTCAAATACGCAGGAGGAAGGACTAGTATAAAGTTTAGTTTTAGACTTGTTAAATTTGGGACTTTTTTAGGATGTACTGACTGGCAGTATTAATGGACAGCTGGTTACACAGGTTTGCTGCTTCCAGAGCTAGGTCTAGCTGGAGGTGCAGATGTGGGGATTTCACTATGTGACCATAGTGACTGGCTGAAGTCACTCGAGAAAGGTTTGGATTGGAAATAAAAACTCCTTGGTACAGTGAAGGTGGTCTGATTGGTATGAAAGTGGAGTCAGTAAAGGAACGCCTGTTAAGAGTGGGAAAGAGAAGAGTTTTATGGACATGGAGAGCATATTTAGTAAATGTTGGATGTTGCAGCAAGGCCACATGGGATGTTCAGCCTCACTAGAAAGGGCCCCTGAGCTCCTTCAAGCAAGCTGCAATTATTAGAGCAGGCAGAAGCTGAAGGAGGTTCATAAAGGGCTTTAGCTTGTACAGCAGTGAACTGTGATTGCAGCTTTGACTTTTGTTTTTATGTCCAAAAGGGCCTTCAGACAGTCATCCAAAGGGATTTCTTTCCTGATGTGGAGAAACTGCAGGCACAGAAGGAGTACCTGGAGGCTGAGGAAAATGGAGATTTGGAACGAATGCGCCAGATTGCAATCAAGTTTGGCTCTGCTCTGGGCAAGATGTCTCGAGAGCCTCCACCACCTTGTAAGGGGACCTAGTGGGTGGCAGAGAGGGTGAAATCTACTGAACTTTGCTATAGGCTTGCTCTAAACCCTACATCTCTCTCTTTCCCCAGATGTGACTCCAGCCACATTTGAGACTCCTGAGGTGCACACAGGCACTGGAATGGTGGGCAACAAGCCCAGATCTCGGGGCCGAGGTCTTGAGGAAGGTAAGTGAGCACTCCCTCTTTTGGTCACATAGTGGTGATTATGTGGGAATCATACCCTATGAGGCCCTGAGAGAGTGGTCCAGGGACTTCAAGTCACCTCTTGCCCCTGAGGAGTCTCCACTCCTGAATAGGGGTCAGGAAGCATTGGTCTAGGAGGCAGAAGATCTGTTTTAACTCCCAAATGTGGAACAGCCCTTCAAGCCTCTCTGTGTTCCATCTCTATGGATTGAGAATTTTACTCTCTTTCTCACTGGTCTGCTGTGTGCCAGCCCTTGCCCTGCAGGTTTCATGGGCTTTGGAAGGCTCCTTTTATCATTGTCTCCTGAAATTATTTCTTTCATATTGGTCACTTCTCCCAGATAACTGCACTGTTCACTCTTTCACTTTCTTCAGGGAAAAATTTCCTGATCTCCCAGTGTAAACATCTTTGGTGTTATGTTCCTTCCAGCTTGCCTTTGTGTTTTTGCTGTAGGTCATAACACCTTTTTTTTTTTTAAGTTATTGATGGACCTTTATTTAATTTATTTATATATGGTGCTAAGAATAGAATCCAGTGTCTCAAACACACTAGGCAAGCACTCTGCCACTGAGCCACAACCCCATCCTAGGTCATTTTTTTTTTTAATATTTTCTAGTTGTCAATGGACCTTTATTTAATTTATTTATATGCAGTGCTGAGAATCAAACCCAGTGCCTCACACATGCTAGGCAAGGCTTTACTACTGAGCCACCACCCCAGCCCCCAGGTCATAATATTTTAAAACTCCTGTTTATTGCCTCATTCTAAATAATATCACTTCCATGAAAGCAGGGACTTTGTCTTGCTTCCATCTGAATGCTCTGCATATGGAAGAGCATATGATATGTTATGAGTCTTCAACAGACATGGAGAACAGATGAATGAGTTATTTTCGGCATATTTATTAGAATATGAGACACAGATATATGGGATACTTCCTGAATTTAGGAAGGAATCTTTTTTAGGAAAGAGCATTCTGAAGTCTTGTTAAATGTAAGTATATCATGCACTATAGGACTTCTTGATCACTTTATCTTTTCATTGGTAATAGAATATTAGTGCACATATAGGTGGACAGCATACTTTGTTCTACCAGGTTCTAGTCTACAGTATACTGTATTGGCACAGACATCCAGTGTGTTCACACAAATATGTTTTTTGTTTTGTAGCCCAGCTCCCTCTGCCATTAACACAGATCTTGTTCTTGGAGCTTGATTCTCTATTGAAGGGTGGCATGAATCACAGGGCAATTTGAAGATTCTTTTCTTTTTATATACCTTATATGTCAATAAACGTAGGAAACCTTTTCATAACCTAAGTGATAGGTACTTTTGTCATTCTTGTTTACAGATAAAGTGAGGCTCCAAAAGGCGGTGACTTGTGTAGTACTCAGAGATGATCATTGGTGGAATGGAACTTAAGTGACATCTCTTTGACCCCAGGTCTTAAAACTGTAGTCGCTGTGCTTTGAGCACAGTCTAGCCTATACTTAGTGGTAAAGTTGTTACTACAATAGAAGATAAAACTCTTCTATAAGCTGGGTATGATGGGATGTTCTTAATAGTCCCAGCTGTTCAGAGGCTGATGTAGGATTGTGAATTTGACTCCAACTGGGTAATATAGTGAGACTTTGTCTTAAAAAAATAGAAAACAAACATACAAAACAAAACAAAAAACTGTCTTCTAGCACCAGGGTGCCACCTCAGTGGTATGCCACTTTCCAGGGTGGCAGAGGTGGCAGTAATATAGTTGAGGTTGTGGCTCAGTACCTCCACATGATTACAGAGGCCCCATTCGGAACACTAGGTTATATAAGATTCCTGCCACAGGGGCTAGGTGGCAGGTCCAGATACTTAGATAACTACCCACCTGTATTGCAAATACCAGGAAGCAAGGAACGATTAGATTAAGGAAATTCCAGGGAGGGAAGGGAAGTCCTGAGGGCTTTGGAGGTAGATCCTGCAGGATTTGCATGGTTTTGGCAGAGGAAGAGCCAGCCAATAGCAGAACTTTTGTGATCATGGATTTTATTTTAATGCCTAGGTCTGTACCTCCTCCGCCCAATCTATTAGATTGTATTGCATGCTTTTGGCATCCATCAGATGAGCAGAGCTGTCCAGGCATCTTTAGGGCTCTATCTGAGGGTTTTCTGAAGAGTTAGGGTGGATTGATACCACCCCAAGGGGAGTCTTCCAACAGAAGTGAGGATTCTAGCCCCATTCGTAAGGTGTCATAATTTTCATTGTTTGTTTTCCTGTGTCTGTAAAATGATGTTTGTATATGTTCCTCTGACTTCCACCCTTGAGCAGGAGAGGCTGGAGAGGAAGAGGAGAAGGAGCCACTGCCCAGCCTGGACGTCTTCCTGAGCCGCTATACAAGTGAGGACAATGCCTCCTTCCAGGAGATCATGGAGGTGGCCAAGGAGAAGAGCCGGGCCCGCCACTCCTGGCTTTACCAGGCTGAGGAGGAATTTGAGAAGGTAGACCTGGGCCCTCTGTCATAGCAGGGAGTCCCAAGGCAATGGACACTGTGCCTTGGGGTCCCACTGACCCTTTTTTTCCCTTATGTGATTACAGAGGCAGAAAGATAATCTTGAACTCCCATCAGCAGAGCACCAAGCCATTGAGAGCAGCCATACTGGTGTGGAGACCTGGAAGTACAAAGCCAAGAACTCCCTTATGTACTACCCAGAGGGTGAGTGGTGGGGCCAGGTGTTTCTGGCTCTGCATTTGGATCATAAGGTTTGTGTGTATATACCCTCACAGCATCAGCCTCAGAGGAGTCCTGGTCTGTCTTGAGATGAACTCATATAAGTCAGTGGGGTAGTAAAGTCCTCCCCAGCTTTGTTCAGGCTCTGCAGGTGTGGAGTGTGAGCTAGGCCCAATGCTTCTGTTTTACTGGGTGAATTGGCTGAGAAAAAGGGTGCTCTCACCCCTTAGTCAGTAGGGCTCATGGTATTGAGGTGGGGCCTTCCCACATCCTGATATATATTATCGTCTCTGCTTCATCTACCAGGTGTCCCTGATGATGAGCAGCTATTTAAGAAGCCCCGGCAGGTGGTGCATAAGAACACACGCTTTCTCCGGGACCCTTTTAGCCAGGCTTTAAGCAGGTCCCAGCTCCAGCAGGCTGCAGCCCTCAATGCCCAGGTAAGCCAATGAGAGCAACAGGATTAGATATGGCTGGGCTGGTGTGGGCAGGCATGGCCTCTCTCATCTTGGCTGCCCCTTTAAGTTAGAACTGTCCCTTGGCTTGGTGGAGCTCAGTAGGTGGAAATATTGAGGTCTGTATGTGGCAGGACCCTGTGTCTTTTCTCAATTCATGTGAGCTTCCACTGGGATACTGTCTTGGTGTGACACATTCTGTGGGCCTAGATCTATGCCTCATCCCTTGATGGTGGTGGGCCAGCAAAGAGGCTGTTGGGAGCCAGCCAAGTCTGTTTACACCCATGCTTATGTATCAGACAGGGTTGTGGGTAGACATGGGTCAGTGGGCCAGGGGAGCCAGCAATGGAACCTGGCCCCAGACAGTGGGCTGTGGCGGGATAGAGCTTGGAGTGGTAGAGAGCAGAGAGATTGTGAACCTGGGAGCAAACTGAGTGGGTACCCTTTGATGGACTGTGATGGTCATAGGGTCAAAGGTTGGGAGACAAGAGACGGGAGACTTGGAAGTGCCTCAGAGGAAAGATAGCATAGGCCCTGTTGTCAGCATTGCACCTCAAGAGGCAAAGGGTGTCAGTTTTGCCCTTGATGGAAGGAAGGAGAACATTCTTGCTTAGATGCCTACTTTGACAGGCCCTCAAGATGTTTCAGCAGAGGAGTGAGTCCTTCCTGTTTTTCCCCAAGTGGGCTACCCACCCCAGGGCCCCAACTTTTCCCTGAGGAAAGCAAATATTTCTAGCATGTTCCTGTCCATCTGCCTATCAGCCAGCTGGGGAGAGAGCCCCCATGACACTATCTTTTCTGCTCATTCCAGCACAAACAGGGCAAGGTGGGCCCTGACGGCAAGGAGCTCATCCCCCAGGAGTCCCCCCGAGTGGGCGGGTTCGGATTTGTTGCCACTCCATCTCCTGCCCCTGGTGAGAAATGGGCCTGGTGCCCAGGCTGGTCAGGGCTGTGGGAGGGCTGGACTCTCAGGCAGACCCAACTGTAAACTGGAGTACTATCCTGTTGCAGTCCTCTCAATAATGTCAGCAGGTAGTACTTACAGATTAAAAGTCAGAGAGCGGGATAGGGTGCAGAAATTCTGGGCACCAGGCCCCAAATCTTTTCCTCCCGGAGACAAGTGAAACTTGGGTCAGTCCCGTGATGCATAGGGAGTCTAAACTCTCAGGTACTGGTTGTGTGATATAAATCAGGGTACATGGAGGCACCATAGGTTTTCCCTGAGTTTTAGGAGGTTTGGGAGCCTTGGAAATCCTGAATATCTCCTACTTCAGAGTGCCCTGTGCTAGGATGGCAGCTCAGCTGACCCAGCTTCCAGTCTATTCTGCCTTGGCCCACAGTTGACCTTAGCATTTCCCTCTCAGAGGCTGGAGGTACTGTGGTTCCAGAGTCCCTGGGAAGAGGCATGGGCTAGCTTTTGGCCTTGATGTTAGCTAGGATGCACGTGGAGTAAACTGGCTATGGTAGTTAGGGAGTGCCTGGGGTGGCACCCCCACCTGGCTCCCCTGGCCTGAGTAGCTATGGGTTCTCCATCTGCAGGTGTGAATGAGTCCCCACTGATGACCTGGGGGGAGGTTGAGAACACGCCCCTGAGAGTTGAAGGATCGGAGACACCCTACGTGGACAGGACACCAGGGCCAGCCTTCAAGGTGGGTTGTGGTGAAAGGGAAGCAAGGGAGGGACTTGGTGTAGACATCTGAGGAGTCTGAGTCCTTGCTGCTCATGATCAAGCACAGAGGACTGGACTCCCAGCTGGCCAAGGCAGGTCCAGCTGATGGGGATGAGCACTGATGCTTCTGAATGCTGATGAAGGTGGGATGGGTGGATGGGTGGGTCTTTCATGGGATTTAGGGGAGCAGGGGCCAAGATACCAAGGTCTCTAGGGCCTGAAGGCCAGGAGCTATTCACAGATAGGGTGGGAGGAATTCAGAATTAGAACAGGAACTCGAACTGCCTTGCAAGCCCAAGGGCCAATGAACCATGGTTTGTGTCCTCAGAAGGGCTATGTGCTGACAGAGCAAGGCTTCTGTTTACAGAACATTTTAGATGTTACAATTCTAGTCTAGTATTGTAGGAGTGGATAGAGTGAAGTTTGTGAGACCTAGCGTAGGCCAGGGAGGCTCTCAATGGGCCTGGGTAGATGCAGCGAGGTGAGGTAGTATCATATGACTCCTGAGTGCCAGGCAGGGTGATAAGCTGGAGGCAATGGCCATAGAAATTGGTGGGCATAGATAAGTGGGCAAGGGGAGTGGTATGGCTGTAAGAGCCCTGGGGAAAGCAAGATGTCTTTGTGCAAAGAGTTTTTTGGGAAAATTGAATGATTAGAGTAGTTTAGAAAGGGAAAGGAGATGTCCCTAAGAATTGGGAGCCTGCACATCTTGCTGTCAGAGTGCTGGGCTCCTACCTGTTGTGACTCTAGGGTGTTGAGAGGTCACAGGAGGCAAAAGTTTATGTTGTCACAGAGGCTGAAGATGTAGATTACATTACCATCAAAAGAAATCAGGTATAGAGTCTGGAATGAACACATAGGTCTGATTTGGTGGCTGGGTCAAAGGTTATCTCAAGCCAGTCGCCTTCCAAAATTGGCAGTGATAAGTTTGAAATGCAATGGAAAAGGAAAAGAGGGGAGAGAGAGAGAGAGAGAGAGAGAGAGAGAGAGAGAGAGAGAGAGAGAGAGAGAGAGAGAGATATCACTTGTGTAGCAATAGAAACTTAAAACAACTAGGAGTAATGCTGAGGAGAACTTCTGTACCATGCTACCATGCTTTCCAAAACCCAGGCCAAGAGGACCCCCACCCCCACCCCCAGCATGGCTCATCATTCTTCAGAATAGTCCTTAGACATACTAGAGCTCCAGATAAACATTGCCAGAAGTTTTGGTTCCATGGTTTCAGAATTTATCTGAGATGCAAGAATAGCCAAGATAACCCTGAGAGAGTAATAACCAAGAGGGATTAATGCATTCCCTAAGGCTCTTGACATGTTAAAAGTGTGCCCCTGCCCAGCAACTCAGGAGGCTGAGGCAGGAAGATTGTAAGTTCGGGACTAGCCTCAGCTATTTAGCAAGGCCCTAAGTAAATCAGTGAGACCCTGTCTGAAAATATAAAGTGCTCAGGATAGCTGGGCGTGATGGTGCATGCCTGTGATCCCAGCAACTCAAGAGGTTGAGGCAGGAGGAATTCAAGTTGGAAATCAGCCTCAGCAACTTAGCAACACCCTATCTCAAAAATAAAAAAATTAAAAGGATTGAGGATGTAGCTTAATTATAGAGTGTTCCTGGATTCCATAGGTGCCGAAGTCTGGCTTGGCACAAATCAGGAGCCACTTGTCAAAAGGAAACTAACTTTATTTTTAGAACTACAAACGCCAAACAAAACAGCTCCAGGGAAAA